CCTCACAGGTTCAAGCAATTCTCCTGCCTCAGCTTCCTGGGTAGCTGGGACTACAGGCGCATGCCACCATGCCCAGCTAATTTTTTTATTTTTAGTAGAGATGGGGTGTCACCATGTTGGCCAGGATGGTCTTGAACTCATGACCTGAAAGTGATTTGCCCACTTTGGCCTTTCAAAGTGCTGGGATTATAGGCATGAGCCATTGCACCGGGGTCCTTTAATGCCTTTTTAATGCTTTTGCATTAGTCAAAGGAGAAAATCATCTTGAACTTCTCCTGAATTTGGATTTAGGAAATGAGGGTCATGTTTTTGGGATGGGGCCTCTGGCCTGGCTCATAGGGTGCCATAGCAGCAGGGAGGGCCTCCGTCACGTCCTGCTGCTCTCCTTACAGGAAGAGCGTTCGCGGAGCGAACACAACTTAGTGAACATCCAGAAGACCCATGAGCGGATGCAGACAGAGAACAAGAGTGAGTAGCTGGGCTCAGGAGAGGAAGGGAATGAGATGGGGGTGAGGTGGGTGGGTGTGGCCAAGCTTGGAATTAGGTGGATATTGTATTCAAAGTTGATTTGCATGTATCTGCATATTCAGAAATGCACTGCTCCTGAGGCAGGAGGGACAGCTTTCCCTTAGTCTGGGTGACCTGAAGAACTAAAATCCCTCCACTCTGAGGACTGGAAAGGCAGTGCAATGAGATACGTCCAGGGAAAGTTCCCCTTAGAGCGTACAAGCACCCTAGTTAGCTGGTGTTTTCTAGAACAGAGCTTCCTTCCCAGGTGGCCCCTCCATGTGCCCTGAGGCCTCTTAGGAGGTCAGACCCTGGGGCTGGGGCTTTCCTACTCTGGGTAACTCTGAGAATTGTGGTTTCCTGTGTCTTAACAAATATTTTCTGTGTGTGTCATGATGGGGAGAAGGTAAGACAATCCTCTCGCAGATGTAGTGATGGCATTTGTACCATATGGAAATGCAGACTCTTGGAGCCCGGGGTATCCGCCTTGGGAGCACTCCTGAGCCAGCAGAGCTCTGACTGTGGCCACAGCCTCTCTGTGCCTCCGCAAGTGTGACTCCGGTGCACGGAAGCAGCGCCACACTACTGCACCAACCCTGGCCCTGCCTCCTTTTATTCCTCTGTTTCCTCTGCAGTTTCTCCCTATTACCGGACAAAGCTGCGTGGCCTCTACACAACCGCCAAGGCCGATGCAGAGGCTGAATGCAAGTGAGTGCGCCCACCCCGCCGCTCCTCCCTCCTCACCTGGACACTGGGCTGCAGGCGCATTTGGACCAAGCCCCCAGCCTGCTTTCCCCCCATGGATAAGCTGATTCCTACTCCCAGCCTCTCCCTTGGGTCCCGCCTTCCCTGGAGCCCACTGCTAGGCCCACTCTTTTTGTTACCTCTGCTGCTAACGTCTTTACAGAAGGCAGCAAGGTGTGAGTCAGCACTGCCATTTACTGGTTCTGTGACCTTGGCAGTCACTTTGGCTGAGATTCAGTCATTAAAATAGGGATATCAGGGACTGGGTGGCTCAGATATGTAATCACAGCATTACAGAGGTGATCGGGAGGCCGAGATTAGAGGATCACTTGAGTCCAAGTGTTCAAGACCAGCCTGGGCAACAAAATGAGACTTTGCCTTTACAAAAAATTTTATAATTAGCTGAGCATGGTGGCATGTGTCTGTAAGGTTGGCTGGAAGGTCAACTCAGATGACCTGAAGGTTTTATGGTTCTGAGATGGAGAAGTTTCACTTCCAGAAAACTGCTGCTTTTAAAATGATCTTAAGGCCAGGCGCGGTGGCTCATGCCTGCAATCTTGAGGTGGGCAGATCACCTGAGGTCGGGGGTTCAAGACCAGCCTGGCTAACATGGCTAAACCCTGTCTCTACTAAAAATACAAAAATTAGCCAGGTGTGGTGGCACATGGCTGTAATCCCAGCCACTCGGGAGGCTGAGGCAGGAGAATTGCTTGAACCCGGGAGTTGGAGGTTGCAGTGAGCCAAGATCGTGCCACTGCACTCCAGGCTGGGCGACAGAGCAAGACTCCATCTCAAAAAATAAAAATAAAAAATAAAATGACCTAAAACCATTGTTTTCTTGAATCTCTATAGTGCAACGGCTGTAACTTTAGGAACTTGAACATTACATTCCTCTCCTTGGAGAACACAGTGGTTCTCAAGTCTGTCTGTACCAGAGGCTCTGTTTATTTGGGGTGGAGCTCCAACACTGGTATTAACGGTCTGACTTTCCTCACTAGTAGGATTCAGGGTTTACACTTTTGGCACAGAAGAAATGTCCTTGGTGAGTTATATTAGACATCAGAAGATACTACCTGTTCTACTGGTTAAAGTGGTCTTTTCTACATTTCTCCTGTATCAGATTGCTGCTATTTTCCCTTGTGTGATTGATTGATTGATTAAGACAGTGTCTCACTCTGTTGTCCAAGCTGGAGTGGAGTGGCATCATCATGGCTCACTGCAGCCTCAAACTCCTGGGCTCAAGTGATCCTCCTGCCTCAACCTCCTGAGTAGCTGGGATTACAGGCAGAACACACCACGCCCAGCTAATTTTTTTAATTTTTTGTAGGGATAGGGTTTGGCCATGTTGGGCAGGCTGGTCTCCAACTCCTCATCTCAAGTGATCCTCCTGCCTCCACCTCCCAAAGTGCTGGGATTACAGGCATACGCCACCGCACGCAGGCCTGCTATGGAAATATTCTTTGGGAATCTGAGATTTAGGATGAAGAAGCCTGCCTCCAGCAAAGCTCTGTGTTTGCTGCTTCTGCTGGGTTCCTTGGGTTCCTGCCACCCTGGAATCCCCATAAACTAACTTCACAGAAGGCTTCCTGGGGCTGTAAGGCCATGCAGGGGTGCATCCTTCAGAAAGGAAGAGTTCCTTCCACCCAGCCCTGCTCTGAGTCAGCACCTCTCCCCAGAGTCTCCCCTCGTTTTTCTTGACCCCTGGGCAGACCTGAGGCCGCTGTCCTCCTCATCTCAGGAGGTGGGGAGAGGCTGCCAGAACAGAGCAGCCCTTCTGCAGGTTTGCCGAAGGCACTCGCCTGTATCCTTTCCTCTCTGGGATCCTGCGTTCGCTTAGTTTTTGGCCAGCTGCTTCCTACAGTCTTGTTTTTTATGCTTTTAAGACTAAAAAACACATATTGAAGATTTCTAGTTTTCTTTTCTTTTTTTATTTGTTTTTTTTTGTTTTTGAGATGGAGTTTTGTTCTTGTTGCCCAGACTTGAGTGCAATGACGCAGTTTCAGCTCACTGCAACCTCTGCCTCCTGGGTTCAAGGGATTCTCCTGCCTCAGCCTCCTGAGTAGGTGGGATTATAGGCGCCCACCAGCATGCCCTGCTAATTTTTGTATTTTTAGTAGAGATAGGGTTTTGCCATGTTGCTCAGGCTGGTCTTGAATTCCTGACTTGAGGTGATCACCCACCTCGGCCTCCCAAAGTGCTGGGATTACAGGCAGGTGCCACCGTGCCCGGCCGGATTTCTAGTGTTCACCAGTGGAGTTGATCCAAATAATCCAGCCCTCCTTGACCAGAACAGGAAGCTGCATACACCTGTATTTGACCTGCGCAGGAGGCTCCTGGGGGAACCGCTAGAGACCAAGACTAGCCAGGGCCATGTAGCGAGAAAAACAGAAAAAATGGAAAAGAAGTCTATGCTACGTGCTTCAACCAAACCCTGTTTCTCCCTTCTCCCTGCCCTCAGCATCCTTCGGAAAGCTCTGGACAAGATTGCCGAAATCAAGTCTCTGTTGGAGGAGAGGCGGATTGGTGAGTGGAAGAGGACGTGCTGGGAGGTCCTTGGCTAGGAGGAGGGAGGCCCTTCAGGCAGCGGTCACCCTCCCGTGGAGGCCTGCGGCCACCGCCTGCTCGGATCCTCCCATGGAGGCTCTGGCAGACTGGCTCTGCCCCTGAGAAGGGACAGGAGATCATTCTCAGCGCTCAGAAGCAGGGGTTTCCCAGTTGTTCCTCAGCAGCCAGAGGTCATCCTGTGCCCGCTTCTCGTCTCCTGCCCCTTCTGGGGCCTAGGCCAGTGGCCTACTCCTTCCTGCCACAGCCCATGCCCATCTCTTGCCCTGGCTGGTTTCTGCAGAACCACACACTGTGTCTTAAAGCCTGCCTTCCACACCCCTTCAGCCTGCATTTCCTTGGCTCTTCTACTGTTCTGCCCTCCCAGCAAACCCACGGTGGGCAGACTCTTGGCACATCAGTGTCCCCATGTGGCCATCCTGGTTCTGTGTGAAGTTGAGGTGTGCAGCTGTGTCTGAAGAGGACCAAGGCGCACACTTAATGTTTTTTTTAACTTTCTGTTGAGTTACAACATATATTAATAGAAGAAAAGTACACATAAGTACAGAGTTCCATGAAATATTCACTAACTGAACACACTCCTGTAACCACCATTCAGATCAGCAAACAGCCTGACCAGCAGCTTGGAACCCCACTTTCTTCTTGGTTTCTCCCACTGGGTGCCTGCTGTGCTGCCATCTCACCCATCTGTAGTTGAGCGCAGCAGTCCCTATGAGTATTAACACCTGGCTGATGGAGTGAGGGTCCTGCTGGGCCCTCGGGCTCACTCAGGAGCTGGGGCTCCTAGTGACTTCTCCAACAGCTGGGTGCAGGGCGCTAGAGGGGGTTAAAGCCAGCACCTGTCCTTGTGACCTCAGGGCTTCCTTCCTTCCCACAGCGGCCAAGATCGCGGGTCTCTACAATGACTCAGAGCCGCCCCGGAAGACCATGCGCAGAGGGGTGCTGATGACCCTGCTGCAGCAGTCGGCCATGACCCTGCCCCTGTGGATCGGGAAGCCTGGTGACAAGTGAGGCAGCAGCTGCAAGGGAGGGGCTGGTGCCCAGGGGCTGGGACTGATTCTTAGTTTCACTCACAGGCCCCCACCCCTCTGTGGGGCCATCCCTGCTTCAGGGGACTATGTGGCCAGACCTGGAGACAAGGTGGCTGCCCGGGTGAAGGCTGTGGATGGGGACGAGCAGTGGATCCTGGCCGAGGTGGTCAGTTACAGCCACGCCACCAACAAGTGAGTGACCCCAGCCCCAGGGCCGCTCTCTTGTCACAGTACCTGCCTGGGCTGCCCCCACCCTCCTCACTCCCCGACAGGGATCACGACCCTGGCTGCATCCAGTGTTTTCTTCCTTTTGTCTGCAGGTATGAAGTAGATGACATCGATGAAGAAGGCAAAGAGTGAGTGTCCAGGCCAGGGCAGGGCACAGAGCCTGGGGGGTAACATAACAGCCGGGAAGGAGCATCCCCACCTGGCCACAGGTTGACACTAGTCTCTCCACCCCCAGGAGACACACCCTGAGCCGGCGCCGGGTCATCCCGCTGCCCCAGTGGAAGGCCAACCCCGAGACAGACCCCGAGGCCTTGTTCCAGAAGGAGCAGCTTGTGCTGGCCCTGTATCCCCAGACCACCTGCTTCTACCGGGCCCTGATCCACGCGCCCCCACAGCGGGTAAAGCAGCCTCCAGTGAAGAGGCCATGGGTGATGTCAGAAACAGGCTGATAAGACAGGCTGGGGGTCCACTCCCTGCTCCCTCCCCCTTGTCTTCATCTCACAGCCCCCAAGCTGACAGGACCCACCAGCTGCCCTCCCTCTTCCACTCCAGCCCCAAAGGCGACTGTTCCCTTGCCAGCCCTGGCAGCCTTTGCAAGCCCCGAATCAGTGGCTTCCCTTCAGCAATCCCAGGAGAAGCAGCTGCGAGATGGGACGCTCCTGCCCTGAGCCCCAAGCTCCTGCCCCATCGTGCTCCTGGTGACATGGGACACAAGCCACCTGAGGCCAGGATCCCTGCCTGCCACCCTCTGGGTTTCCTTCAGTCCTCTGAACACAGAGTCCCCAAAAGGCAGCAGATCCTCCAGCTATGGCCCCACTGGGAAGGGAGCGAGTTCCCTTCCTCTCCCTGCCTTTTCCCTGCCCTGGGCCTGCCGCCACTGAGAAAAGAGCTCTGTAGCAGCAGGGACTGGGCCGAGACTTCCTCACCCCAGAGTGAACAATGAAAAGATTGGCTGAGAGTCCAGGGCCCAGAGGCTCCTGTGGTCTAGGCTGGGGGAAGGGGTCCTGGCCTGGGGGTCTCTGAGCAGCCCCTCCTGTCTGCCTGCCCCACAGCCCCAGGATGACTACTCGGTCCTGTTTGAAGATACCTCCTATGCAGATGGCTATTCCCCTCCCCTCAATGTGGCCCAGAGGTACGTGGTGGCTTGTAAGGAGCCCAAGAAAAAGTGAAGCTGCCCAGTGTACTCGCCATCCCCCGACAACACAGAGCAGGACGGCAGAGGATGTGCTGGGATTAAACGGACGCTCCCCTCCACGCGTGTCCTGGGTTTTACTTCTCCAGACCCTCTCCCCTCTCCAAACAGGGCAGCAGGGGAGCTGGAGCAGGGTGGTGGCCATATCTGTCCCCAGTGGGCGATCACTGTTTCAGCTCAGGGATTTTCTTGGCTTCCAACACAGGCTCTGCATTGAACACAAATCACGCTTTATTCCTGAGCCCCGTGGTCAGGCTTGACTCGCACACTCCCTCTGCAGTGACCCCGGGAGCCCCTGTCACAGCTGGGAGCGGAAGCTGAGGCTGCAGCCTGCCATCTTCTCTGCATAGTCCGCGTCGAAGCGCTCATTCTGCGCCACAGTGAAGGTGGTTTTCCAGTCCCCAGCCGTGCCTGGGAGAGGAAGGCAGGGAGCAAAGCTGGAGTCTCACCCCAGGGGAGGCCCCGAGTGCCTATGGGGAGGCTCCAGCTGCTGCTCCCACCAGCCCCAAAACCCCATGCTGGCCGGCGCCCACCTCTCCTCATGAAGGGGGAGATGCTGTGGTCCATGAACTCCTTGGGGAGGGTGGAGTAGTTGGTCATGGGGTTCTTCTTCATCTCCTTGAATGACGTGTGCTGAACGATGAGGTCCAGGGTGTCCTCCGGCAGGGAGCGCCCCACAAACTCCAGGATCTTCCGAATCTCCCTTTTGGGGTTCTGAGCAGCAGAGGGCTCCTCAGTGGAGACTGGGATTGCTGATTCGGGAAGGTAAAAGGGGTCCCCTTCTCTAACCTCAGAGGGGATCTGGCCACTTCCACTAGAAAACCCTCAGAGCCAGGTCCTAGACGCTCGGGGCCCTGTCCCTGGGGTAAAACGAATTGCTCTCTGCCCTGTGATCCCTTGATGAGCTGGGCTTGGCTCCTATGGGTGAGGACCGGGATGGTTTTCCGTGACTATGGCTCTGGGTGGGACACCCTCTGGCAGGGAGAAGCAATAGGAATAAATAGTTGATCTGTGGCAGGGGCCGTGGCTCAGGCCTGTTATCCCAGCACTGTGGGAGCTAAGACAGGCAGATCACCTGAGCTCAGGAGTTCGAGACCAGCCTGGCCAACATGGCAAAAACTCCTCTCTACTAAAAATACAAAAACTAGTCAGGCGTGGTCGCGTGCACCTGTACTCTCAGCTTGTGGGGAGGCTGAGGAAGGAGAATCATTTGAACCTGGCAGGAGGAGATTAGAGTGAGCTAACACCACGGCATGCCAACCTGGGCAACGGAACGAGACTCTCTCAAAAAAAGTATCTGATCCGTGGCCAGCTGTGGAGCTGACTCAGGTGCGGGAGATGAGAGCTGTGTGGGGCCTGCTGCCAGGTGGGGCTGCAGCTGGGAGGCCTGGGCCAGGGAGGCAGGATGGGGAATCCGGGCCTGCGGTAGGGCTGCCTGGAGAGGGGACTGGGTGGCCTTGCGAGTCCCTGTGAGGTGCCTGCCCCCAGGTGTCACATGGAGGGCAGCAGCACAGGTGGTCTCACCTCCTTCATGTCTTCATAGAAGAGGTAGAGAACAGGGTGTGTGCGGCTCAGCTCCCACCACTCCTGCACGTGCTGGTACCAGGACCCGTAGGACACTGGAGAAGCGGGCGGGGGACAGCGACACAGGGTTGCCGTGTGTTGTAGCCACCCCTCGGCTCCACACCCTCCTTCCTCCAGTCAACCCACCTTCTCCGGCCATGAACTTCTCCAGGAAGCTGTCCCAGGTCCCAGGCTCAGGAAGCACCTTCACCATGCGGTGGAAGTGGTAGTAAGAGACGGCCACGTCCTTTGCGTTGCGGGCAACATAGACCACCTGCAGGGGCAGAGGACCCGGCCCAGCGCCATCACACGGCCTGCCCCAGGCCGGCTCATCTCTTGGTTTGGCAAAGGAGAAACCTGAGGCTTAGACTGTGACTTGCTTGAGATCTCATGGCACAGGTAGGTCCAAGTGGAATCTGAACCCTGCTCAGATGTCAAAGTCCAGCCTGGTCCCTGGATCCATATTCTATACTAATATAAACTGCATCAATGCCGTCACACCCCAATTTAGAGCAAGGCATGCTCCACCAGACATGTTCCCACCAGCCCCAAATTCCCAAGTTTCCTGGGCCAGTGAAGACCCACCCACTATCTCTCTGTTTTTTGTTTTTTGTTTTTTTTTTTTTTGAAACCGAGTCTCACTCTGTTGCCCAGGCTGGAGTGCAGTGGCACGATCTTGGCTCTCTGCAACTCTGCCTCCCGGGTTCAAGTGATTCTCCTACCCAGCTCTCCGAGTAGCTGGGATTACAGGCGTTCACCGTCATGCTCAACCAATTTTTGTACTTTTAGTAGAGACAGGGTTTCACCATGCTGGTCAGGCTGGTCTCGAACTCCTGTCCTCATATTCTGCCCACCTCGGCGTCCCAAAGTGCTGGAGTTACAGACCTGACCTCCTGCAACCGGCCCCCTCTACCTTTCTTAGGTTCACACTGAAGAGTCTTATGTTCTTGGTCATCAGAGCAAGAGGCAGACAGTTTCCCCACTGAAGATAAGACAAGTCTGGAGGAAGTAATACGGCTTTCCCAGAAGGACAGGACCAGGCTAGGCTGACCGGGGGCCTCCTTCCCTGAATTCACATGCCCCAACCTGGACCTTTTTTCTTTTTCTTTTTGTACTGGTGTTTTTGTTTTGTTTTGTTTTTTGAGACTCTCTCAAAAAAAGTATCTGATCCGTGGCCTGATCAGAGAGCCTCAAAAAATAAGACCTTGGCCCACTGACCTTGACCTCTCCAAGTGCTGGCCTTACAGGAGTGAGCCATCATAGGTGGCAAATCTTTTTTTAATCTTTATTTATTTATTTAGTTAGTTGGAAACAGAGTCTTGTTCAGTCTCCCAGGCTGGAGTGCAATGGTGCGATCTTGGCTCACTGCAACCACCGCTTCCCAGGTTCTAGAGATTCTCCTGCCTCAACCTCCCAAGTAGCTGGAATTGTAGGTGCCTGCCCCCATGCCCGGCCAATTTTTTTTTTTTTTTTTTGAGACGGAGTTTCGCTCTTGTTACCCAGGCTGGAGTGCAATGGCGCGATCTCGGCTCACCGCAACCTCCGCCTCCTGGCTTCAGGCAATTCTGCCTCAGCCTCCTGAGTAGCTGGGATTACAGGCACGCGCCACCATGTCCACCTGATTTTTTGTATTTTAAGTAGAGACGGGGTTTCACCATGTTGACCAGGATGGTCTCGATCTCTTGACCTCGTGATCCACCCACCGTGGCCTCCCAAAGTGCAGGGATTACAGGCGTGAGCCACTGCGCCCGGCCATTTTTTTGTATTTTTAGTAAAGATAGGGTTTCACCATGTTGGCCAGGCTGTTCTCCAACTCCTGACCTCAGGTGATCTGCCTGCCTCAACCTCCCAAAGTGCTGACATTGCAGGCATGAGCCACTGTGCCCAGCCTCACCTTGACCTTCTGATCCAGCAGGGTCTGGGGGACCAGAGCCAGGGGCAGGTGCGTCTTTAGGAGCCTTGGGGCCGGCGTATCTTTCAGAGTCTCCAGCCCTGAGCGGTGGGTCAGGGAAGGTCTGGTGAGCTGAAGCCCCAGCCCTGTCTTCCTCCACTCCCCTTGCCCCCAGGACCCAGTCACACACCTGAGGGAACCCCTGGGGCTTTGAACTCAAGAAAGGGCACCCGAATGAAGATGGGAGCCCGGTGACACTTGTCCAGGTCGCCATCCTGATAGATCATGTCCAGTACCTGGCTCACCCAGGTGGTGCCTGGAGAGGGAGGGAGATAGGAGGTGAACAGGCTGAGGGTACAGCCTGGCAGGCCAAAGTAGGGGCTGCCACATGGGAAAGGGTGGGTGGCCCTCCTCACCTACCAGACTTGGGGTAGGTGCTGATGAGCAGGTCATCGGGCCGGGCCCGGAAGCTCTCCAGGGGCCCCAGTGTCTCTGCAAAGTACTTGATGAGCGGGACCCCCTTCACATACTCCAGAGGCTGGCGGAGGGTGTCCTGGATCAGCTCCATGTTCCTGCATCAGGGCAGTCCCAGGCCCACACCCTTAACATCATCACAACACCGTGTGCAGAATTCTCACTTTCAGGGAAGTCACTGAGGCCTAGGGAGGCTGAGTGACTTGCCTGAGCTCACAAAGCCAGTCAGTGGCAGGGCTGGGGCTGAAAACCAGGTCTGCGTCTAGTGCGGCGGTTCCCCAGCCTGGCCGAAGCTTTCATTCACCTGCAGAGCTGTGCAAAATCCCAGGGCCTGGGCCATGGTGCAGACCAGTGAAAGTGCCCTCATGGGGCGGGGCCCAGGTATCAGGGTGTGTGAAGGTCTCCAGGAGACTCCAGCTGCCCTGAGGAAGCTCTAGGCCTGCCTGTGCTGTCTCCCCTCCAGCCAGTGCCCTTTGTCTCACCATTTCTGGGATTACAGGTGTGAACCACTGCGCCCGACCATTCTAATATTTTCTACACATCAAACCCAGTGTTTGAGGAGGGTGTTGAGATCCCAGCCTCCACCCAGTGGGCTCCCCTCCCGGATGCTCCCCTGCTTGAGCCCCTCAAGGCCCCTCACATGTGGAAACCTCCCAGGCTGGCTGGGCTTCTCTCCCCGGTGCTCCTCTCCTTGACCCGCTCAGGGCCCCTCACATTTGGAAACCTCCCAGGCCGGCTAGGCCTGTGATCCATTTGCCCAGCCACAGTCCATCTGGGTTCCAAGACAAACACGGCCCATTGAGCAACTAGCTAGTACTAGGGGCCAGACCCTGGTGTGGGAAGGAACAAAACTGATGACTCAGCAGGAGGAGGGTCCTGGGCAGGGTGAGTCCCACCTGTAATCCCAGACCCTAGGAGGCCAGGAGTTGGAGACCAACTTGGGCAGCATGGCAAGACCCCGTCTCTAAAAATCTTTTATATTTATTTATTTTTTATTTTTTGAGACGAAGTCTTGCTCTGTCATCCAGGCTGGAGTGCAATGGCATGATATCGGCTCACCACAACCTCCACTTCCTGGATTCAGGCAATTCTACCTCAGCCTCCAGAATAGCTGAGATTACAGGAGCTGGCCACCATACTTGGCTAGTTTTTATGTTTTTAGTAGAGACAGTTTCACCATGTTGGCCAGGCTGGTCTCAAACTCCTGACCTCCTGATCCACCTGCCTTGGCCTCCCAACATGCTGGGATTATAGGCTTGGTCACCGAGTCCGGCCTTTAAAAAATATTTTGAAAAATTATCCAGGAAGGATGGCAAGGCCCTGTAGTCCCAGCTACTCTAGAGGCTGAGACAGGAGAATTGATTGAGCCCAGGAATTCAAGGCTGCAGTGACCAGAATCCTACTGTACTCCAGTCTGAGTGACAGCAAGACCTGGCCTCCCTGAGGGAAAAAAAAAAAAGGGACGGAGGGGGATTCACGCCTGGCCAGAGTTGTCTGATTGAAATGGGATATCCATGGGGAAAGAGCAGGAATGGCAGAGGCCTCGGCTTCTGGAATGTTGGAGCCAGAAGCTGAGCAGGGTGAGGGCGACTTGGGCCATTCCACCATGTCACTCACCTGAGCTTTCGGGAGCTGGCTGTCCTCGCCCGCAGTGGCTGAGTGTGGGTGCGGTGTGGGGAATGCAGGGCTGTTATCTGTGCTGAGGGTTTCCTAAGTCCAGTGTGGGAGGGATCTGGAGCCAGGCCAGAGTTAGTTTTGCTCCTGGGAGGAAGAGGTGGGTTTGGGAGTTGGGGAGCTTCTCCATTATCCTCCTTAGTCCGCCAGCTGGAGACAAGCCTGGAGTGATCTGCAAAGCCAAGACTGGGTTTGATGTGTAGAAAACATTAGAATGGTCGGGCACAGTGGTTCACACCTGTAATCCCAGCACCTTGGGAGGCTGAGGTGGGCGGATCACCTGAGGTCAGAAGTTCGAGACCATCCTGACCAACATGGAGAAACCCCAGCTCTACTCCAGGTATAGTGGTGCATGCCTATAATCCCATCTACTCGGGAGGTTGAGGCAGGAGAATCTCTTGAACACAGGCGGCGGAGGTTGCTGTGAGCCGAGATCCAGCCATTGCACTTTAGCCTGAGCAACAAAAGTAAAACTCTAGCTCAGAATAATAATAATAACAAGAATGACAGGGGAAAGGGCCCAATGGTGCGTTTGGTTTTCTTTGTGTTGTTTTGAGCTGTCCCAGGGCTCCTGACCTACCCCTGGACTCCACCCCACCAGGCAGGCCAATAGACAAGCTTTCTCTAATTGACCCAGAGAAGAAGTGGGAGGGGTTGGAGGAGAAGGCTGAGATAGGCAGGCCCGGGAAAGGTCACCTAACTGCTGGCTCCAGGCCATGCTTGAAGGCGCCAGGGGTTCTGGTCTAGTGCAGCCCACAGGCCCTCAGCAGCGCAGGCATTCCAGGCTCCGACCACAAGGCCAGCCTGGAGTGATGTGTGTGGGCAGAGTGAAGGGGCAGGGGTGGAGCAGAGCATGGATGCACAGAAGAAGAAAGAACAAGGACATTGGAGTCCCATTGCCCTGGGAGATAGCCCCAGCCTCATGGCTCCCAGGGGACCTCACAGAGCATCAATAGAAGATCCTAGAACAGCAGCCCCTGCAGGTGCTTTTCTTTCCCTGGGTTTGAAGAAGGCTCTGCAGACAGAGGACGGGGGAGGTTGGGGCTTGGAAGCCTCGGGGCCCTGTAGAAGGAGGGCATCCCCCCCATACTCCTCGTTCTTTGTCCTCACTATTGAAAGTCCAAGGTCAAGCTGGTTACTAGACAGGTAACCAGCTGAGTAAAGGTGAGTCTCCCAGGCCTTCCAAGAATTCCGTGAACTCAGAGGCAAGCAGGGGAAAGCTGAGGCGTGGAGTTTCCAGGCAGAGGGGAGGCCCCTCCTCCCTCCTCTGTGATCCTGACTGACAGGTCCTGAGGCCACTAGCTCCATCTCTGCCTTCAGTAACCATCGGGAGGTACCCTTGGCTCAGACTTTGTATTGCAGTCCGGTAAAAACCAGCTAGACCCACTCCAGATGGCATGGAAAATAGGCAAGAATGTGAGATTAATACAGAGTGGTAGCTGGGGACTAGAAAATCCCAGGCTGCAGTTTCACATGACCAGAAGAAGGAAACTTGAAATAGCTGCATGTGCTAAGGGCCAATAAGTCCCGGAAAAATAGGATGAGGACCAAGCTGGCTACAACCAACCAGACCCAACATGGCGCTGCATTTGATATAGGTTTCACCTAGGATCTCATATGATCAGTAAGATGTTAAATCATACACCGACCAGTGCCAAGACTGCTCCAGGAACACCTGTATTTGGACGTAAATTGTGGCACCACGGTTTTGAGAAATCTTTACCTTTTCCTGGAATCTTCATGAATACACCATCTTTAAAGAAGCCCATAAAGGTCAGCCCCAAACCTAGGGCATGAGACACTCTCTTCATGACCCCCACATTCCCCTTCTTGAGTGTATACTTTTGCTCTGCAAGAAATCTCCCTACATTCACGCCTTCTAACTTGCCCTTAAATTCCTTCTGGCAAAAGTGTCAAGAGCCTGGAGACTGACAGAGGTGGATGTCCCACCGGCCTTTGAGGACCTCCCTTAGGCCACTGGTATTGGGAGAGGGTTAGGGACGCTGAGGATCAGGTCCCCGGCAGGGCTGTCCAGTGTGTCTGTAGAGGCAAGAAGGTTGGTGACAGACAGCCCAGGGCAGGGAGTGGGGTGGCGAGGCCGGGGCCAAAACCCACTCACGTCTTCTAATTCCGAGTCTTCTACTATTTCCTCCATGCCCATCTGCACAGCCAGATCAGGTCACCCAAAGCAGTGACCTCCCACAGCTACCAAGGCATGGGGCCAGAGAGATAGAGTCAGGCATCACAAGTCCCCTCCAGGCTGGGCCCTGAATATCAAGATGAAGACTCTGCTGCCCAGGCCTGGCTTATACAACTGGGCACCCTCTTCCCAGAGCTGGACCAGGCTGGTGCCTGGGGACAGAAGCTGCCCTGATTCTTCCCAAAGGAACTCCTCTGCCAGGCAGATCACATGGACCCTTGGCGGGCAGCCAGGGTCAGAGCAACACAAAGGCACCTGTTCATCCAGTCCCAGGCAGCAGGCAGGTAAGAGGCAAGGAGGGAGAGGGAGCTGGCAGGGAGCCTCTGTGCAGCAGGCACTGTTCCTGGTGTTACACAGCTCCATATTTGCATTTTACAGACGAGGAAATGGAGGTCGGGGGTTAAAATCCTTGCTCTCTGGGACTAAGCTGGTGAAGGTCCCGTGAGCATCAGCAGTGACTGAGTCACAGCCTGGACACTGCAGCCAGACTTGAATTTCGTGACAGCTTAGCAATGGCCAGCAGGTCACTGAATCTCTGCAGGGCTAGTCCTCCACTCACAATTATCAGGAGCTCAGTAGAAGCCCGCCCATCATCCATTATTTTATTAACTATTTATTGGACAGCAGCTCTGTGTAGGACTCTGTTCTCCAGCAGTGACAAGAGCTGCCTTCAGGCAGTTTAGTACAAAGGTTGGGATGGGAGAGACTAATGAGATCAATAAAACACGAAGCCCGTGAGATAATAAGTATTCAGGAGAAGGAGCCATGGTGAAGTACACAAGACATGCAATTTTAGTTTATCTTTTTAGAGACAGAGTCTTGCTCTTTCGCCCAGGCTGGAGTGCAATGGAACAGTCAGAGCTCACTGCAGCCTCCAGCTCCCGGGCTCAGGCAATCCTCCCACCTCAGACTCCCCAGTAGTTGGCACTACAGGCATGTGCCACCGTGCCCGGCTTCTCAGAGCTGCAATTTTAAATCGGGAGACAGGGAAGACCTCTCTGTGGAGGTGGCAGGTTATCAAGACAGATGGGGGTGTAGAGAAGAACCTTCCAGTCAAAGGGAAAAGGCAGGTCCTGCTGTGCCCCGCCAATGGCCAGAAGTACTGTCATCCCCATCTTAGAGACCGGGACAGGGCCGCAAAAGTGTCAGGGCGTTTCCTTGTTCTTCAACAAATAGCTGGATCCGAAGTCGTCGGGACGCTGCATCCCCCTTGCCTGGGGCGAACCTCCCCTGAA